AGTAGTAGTAGTAGTACTAGTTGAAGCAGTCGTAGTAGTAGTAGTAGTAGTAGTAGTAGTTGTAGTAGTCGTCGTAGGAATAGTAGTGATAGTAGTAGTCGTAGTAACAGAAGTAGTAGTAGTCGTAGTCGTAGTCGTAAACGTAGTAGTCGCCGTCGCAGTAGCATACGGAATAGTACTAGTAGTAAAAGCAGTAGTAGTAGTAGTAGCAGTAGTAGTAGGAGTAGTAGAAGCAGTAGTGGTAGTAGTAGTAGTAGTAGTAGAAATAGTAATAACACTAATCGTAGTAGCAGGAGTAGTAGTAGTAATAATACTAGTAGTAGTAGCGAAAGTAGTTGTAGTGGTAGTCGTAGTAGTAGTACTACTACTACTACTACCACTACAAGTACTAGTAGTAGTAGTAGCAGGAGTAGTAGTAGGAGTAATAGGAGCAGTAGTAGTAGTAGTAGTAATATTAGTAATAGTCGCAGTAGTCGTAGTAGTAATAGTAGTAGTAGTAGTAGTAGTAGTAGTAGTACTAGTGGCGGTAATAATAATGATGTTAATCGTAGTAAAACGACTAACAGTACTCGTAGCAGTAGCAGTATTAGTAACAGTTGTTGTGGTCGTAGTAGTAGTAGCAGTAATCGCCGCAGTAGTGTTAACAATGATGAGGATGCTACAATCAATAATCATTAATGACACTACGGATAATAACGCTTCCGCAATAGATGAATTTGAGTATGCTTGGAACATAACTCGCAATACTCTTATCAATATGATTGGTCTCGCTGGTCGTTCTCACCCGTCGCAGCGACATCGCATGCGCAATGTTACTTTGCAAAATCTGCATTCGTATACGTAAGAGCTAAAATTGTGTGCGAAACTGGATATTTGAATCGTTAGTGTTCGTAATAATGAATAGCAGTATTTCGGTCGGAACCCCTCGCTGGTACACCTCGAGAAGAAGGGGGCCGCGAAAGTGGAGGAGGAGTGGAAGAGGTGTCGTTTAGCGGCGGCCTTACAACACATAAGCCGTGTTGTGGCGGCCTTCATAAGGATTCCTCGTGTGAGGGGTGTGCGAAAGGATCCGTTTGAGGAGGCAAAGAAAAATTGAGATGATTAATTCTGCGTCGGGATTGCAATTCGATTCCCTGTTCGGCAGCTTTGCACATGCATTTACATGTGTTGAGTCCGTGAAGTGTGCAGGTGTTTCTGATGTGTTTCAAGTGTATTCGAACGGAAGTAATTTGCTATTGAGTTGAAATACAATTTAATTGTGCGGCGGGGTCTCCAAGTCAGGGGAACATGTGCACTTTGAGTTCTCTCTATGACAAATTTACAAGCTGATTGCTTCTGCGCGGGGTTGTAAATGGATTTCCTTCTACTACGGACGTGCAGTTTCACGGTGCGCCCGATTTACATTCTTATCCCACGATGCAAGGACTCAGAAGGTTTCACGCTTTTGCCAACCATCCTGTGTTTTCTATTCCCCGTTGCGAAGAGACAGAGCCCCGCGTCTCACTCCCTCTTCCTGCTCCCCCTCCTCCCGCTCCTCCCTCCTCCCACCCTTGCCTCTGCCTCCGCACGACATGTTCGTCACACCCCTCACACGTTTCGTGGCCCCTTAAGGAGCTCCACCGAAAGCTCCACTGGCAAGGTTCGCATGCGTTTCCCTGCAAATTTCGGCACGCCCTTCACACATGTCGTGTCCCCGTAGGGAGCTTAACCGGAGGCCCCAATGGCAGGGTTCGCGTGCGGTTCCCCGCTCATTTCGGCACACCCGTCATACGCTTCGTGGCCCCATGGGGAACCCCACCGAAAATCACAACGGCAAGGTTCGCAAGCATTTCCCAGCCAATGTCGGCACACCCCTCACGCGCTTCGTGGCCCAATAAGGAGCCCCACCGAAGGCACAAGTGGCATGGTGCCCCTGCGGCTCTTCGGTCATATCCACACACACCACACGTTTCGTGGCCCCATGGGGATCTCCACCAAAGGCCCAAGTCGCAGGCAGGGTGCCCATGCGGTTCTTCGCCCATCTTGGCGCACCCATCACACGTTTCGTGGCCCTATAGGGAGCTCCACGGAAGGTCCAAGTGGCCCGGGACGCATGCAGTTGCCCGCCCATTTAGGCACACCCCTCACACGCTTTGTGGCCCCAAAGGGAGCTCCACACCGAAAGCCCCAGTGGCAGGGTGCGCATGCGGCTCCCCGTTAATGTCGGCACACCCTCACACTTTTCGTGGTTCCGTAGGGAACCCCGAGAGTATGCATGCAGCTCCCCGCCCAGTTCGGCACACCACTCACACACTTCGGGGAGCGCCACCGAAGTTCCAACTGGCAAAATGCACATGCGGTTCTCCGCCCACTTCGGCCCACGTCACACGCTTCGTGGCTCCATAAGGAACTCTACGGAAGTTCCCAATGGCAGGGTGCGCATGAGGTTCCCCGCCCATTTCGGCGCGCCCCTCTTTGTGGCCCCATGGGGAACTCCACCGAAGACGATACTCACAACCGCGGGGTACACAATGCCTATGCTCTGGTCCTTCGCCAGGCGTTTGCACATGTTTCGCACGTTGACTAATTGTGTCTTTTCAGCGGTTTTAAGCTGCATCCGCTTTGCGACGGGATTGCAACTAGATGTCCTTCCGCGGTTGGCTTGCAAATCGACACCCCTGGCGTGGGATTTACAAACAGATTCCGTCCTCGTTGGGTTTCTAATGCGATGCGTCTCGTCGGCGCATAGCACAAGGCATTTGATCGCACATCTGCACGAATGTATAACGATTGAATCATTGCAGGCCCCCCTGCTGTGTTGTAGCTGCAACTGAACTTATTCATGTGACTGGCTTGCACTTCGAATTCTTGTGTCGTGGACGTTCCATGGATTTCGTTGTGCGGAGTGTTTCTATGTATGTGACAAATGTAAACTCCAACTCATAGTGGTAAGGGATTAGGGTCAGACTTCATGTTGCGGAGGGTTTGCAATGAGATGTCTTCAATGAAGGGGTGCTAATCCACTTCGTGTCGGGTTGATACGTAAATGCGTGTTGAGGGAATGGCTTAATCAAGAAGTTTACCTGGCGAAAAATAACACTACGCAGGCGCGGGTGCCGAAAGACCGATCGAAACTGAAAAAGGGCGCCAAGAGGAGCACAGAGTTGCAGGTGTTTCGTTTCCTGTCTCCTGTCCTCCGCCCTTCGTCCCTCCCCCCCTCGCCGAGCGCTGGACAAGATGAGGTTTCCCCTCTGTGTTGTCGCGCCCTGGTGACCGCGGCTCTGGGCAGAGCGCAGCGCGGAGTCCCCGCGACGCGCGCTGGTTGCCCCGCAGGGTTCCAGGCGACGCGCGCAGGCTGGCCGCTGCGCGGAGCAAAGAAAGCTAGCTGGCTGGCCGACAGCGGGCCAAGCGCTGTCAGCTGGGCAGAACGACGACGCGCGAGCGAGGTGCTGCGCGGAGCGCAGCCACTGGGGCCTTCGGCAGAGCTCCCTGTGAGGCCACGAAGAGTGTGAGGGGCGCGCCGACATGGGCGCGGACGCATATGGACGCAGCCGCTGGGGCCTTCGGTGGAGCCCTTACTTTGCCACGAACCGTGTGAGGGGTGTGGCGAAATTGGCGTGGAACGCATGTGGCCACACACACTGGGGCCTTCGGTGGAACTCCCTGTGGGGCCACGAAACGTGTGAGTGCTGTGCGTCGAAATGGGTGGTGCGGACGCATGTGGACATACCCACTGGGGTATTCGGTGAATCTCCTCATGGGGCCAAGAAACGTGTGAGTGGTGTGCCGACACGGGTGGCGCGGACGCGTGTGGACACCGCCACTGGGGCCTTCGGTGGAACTCGCTATGGGGCAGCGCAGCGAAGCGTGTGAGTCGTCAGCCGAAGTGGGTAGCGCGGACGCATGTGGACACCGCCACTGGGGCCTTCCGTGGAGCTCCCTATGGGGCCACGACACATGTGAGAGGTGTACCGACACGGGCGCGGGCCGCGGCGCGGGACGCATGTGGACACCGCCACTGGGACCGTCGGTGGAGTTCCCTATGGGGCCGCGAGGCGTGTGAGCGGTGTGGCGAACTGGGTGGCGCGGACGCATGTGGACACCGCCACTGGGGCCTTCCGTGGAGCTCCCGATGGGGCCACGAAACGTGGGAGGGGCGTGCCGAAATTAAAGGCGCGGACGCATGTGGACACCGCCACTGAAGCCTTCCGTGGAGCTCCTCATGGGGCCACGAACTGTGTGAGGGGTGTACCGAAGTGGGCGCGGGACGCATGTGGACAGCTCACCATGGGGCCGCGAAGCGTGTCAAGGGTGCGCCGAAATTGGCGGCGCGGACGCATGTGGACACACCCGCTGAGCCGTCGGTGGAGCTGCTCATGGAGCCACGAAGTGTGTGAGAGGTGTGCCGACACGAGCGGCGCGGACGCATGTGGACACCGCCACTGGGGCCTTCGGTGGACCTCCCGATGGGGCCACGAAACGTGTGAAGTGTGTGCCGACATGGGTGGCGCGGACGCATGTGGACACCGCCGCTGGGGCCTTCCGTGGAGCTTCCTATGGGGCCATGAAGCGTGAGGGGTGTGCCGAAATGGGCGGCGTGAGCGCATGCGGACGCCGCCACTGGGGCCTTCGGTGGAGCTCCCAACGGGGCCACGAACCGTGTGAGGGCATGCCAACATGGGTGCGGCTGGCGCGTGCAAGCGCGGCAACTGGGACCGTCGGTGGAGGTCCCTGCGGGGCTACGGATCGTGTGAGACGTGTACCAACATGGGCGCGGTGGGCGCATGCGAACGCTGGCATATGGACCTTCGGTGGAGCTCCCGATGGGGCTACGAAGCGTGTGAGGGGTGTGCCGAAACATGTACATGCGGGGGCCAGAAGCAAGGAGGGGGAGGAGGGAGGAGGAGGCGGAGGAGGAAGGAGAGGAGAGGGGACTCGTAGCGCTGTCTCTTCAAAACGAGGACCCAACTCCACATAATGGTTGGGACAAACAAACGAATATCGCAGATTTGAATGTTTGTCGGGGGGATGGCATGGGCGCCCTTTGTTCAACGCGAAATCTCTTTTCATTAAAAAAGAAGAAGAAAAACAGGATACATCAATAGCTGGATGGGTGCAAGGGAAGCCCGCCCTTCCAGCTGAATTGTTATTTGAAGGCGAATGGGCGACTTGAATTCTGGGTGTGGAGGCATCACGTGACGCATTCGTGGCATCACGAGGGCCGAGTACTGCGACGATGCAGACCCATCCCTAGGTCACTGGTAGACCATATACGTGGCATGTACATGGACGTTCTGTAATTAAGGCACAACGCCGATGGCTGAGACTGTCAAAGCCAACAGAAATATCAGCTGAGATTGCTTGCCGCATGTTCGGGCACGCCGACATTCCAACATGTGACACAGAGGTGCTCAAACAGCACTGCCCTGCACCAACTGCAGGAATCTGCGAGAAAGGTGAAGCATAGAACGCGAAGTAAGCGACAAAGAATAATTTGCGCCCCAGGATGCTGGTTCGAGCCCCCCCCGTGATCGGGCCTTCGTATGGGACGTAGCTACATGGCCTCGCCCAGACCTCAGGACCTCCGTGACTGCAAACAGAGCGCAGGGTCGCCAGACTCAGCCCACCGCTGCGGAGCCGCTATGTATTTTTGCGCTCGGCGTATTCAATAGAGACACCACAGCGAAACGCTAATCGCAGCGAGACTCGGGGAAAGGCCTGCACAGCGCGTTCACATCGGTGCGGAATGCAGGAGCATGCGCTCTGCACGCAACCTGCACTACTCAAAACTGCCAAACTCGGACTTCTCGGTACTGGTACGGGTCCGAGAACGCTTAGGTTTGGACTCTGACGTCGTGCGCGGGAACGGGATCTGCAGACCGTTTTGGAACATTGCGGGCTTGTAATCATCCGGTACGTCTTGCTTGCGCATGACGGCGCTGTTCTGATAGCTCACAACATTCGCGTGCAGTCCTTGCACTCCTCCCCAACATACGGCACACACTTTGCGGCATCTAGATGATGACCACGATGCGAAATTGTGAAAGACATTCGCAAATCGCAATGCGTTTTCATGAGTCGTCAAGTTCACAAACGCAAAGCCGAAGTTGCACTTAGTTTTGAAGTCCATAGGGAGATAGAGAAGATCGAACTGCCCTTCGAAGCCCTTTTCCTCGAGCAAGTCGATCAACTTGGCCCGTGAAAGCGCGGTGGGTAGATTGCGCATCATCACGGTGGTCCGCTGGTCGCCGCCTTTCGGGACAAACGCCGCCGCCTTCACGTTCAAGGGCGTGCACAGGGTGCCCGGCTTGCGAGAAGAGAGCTCGGTTCCCAGCTTCACGATTCGCACTTGCATGGGGCTCATCGCCCTGCTGGAAGGAGCCTGCTGACAGTCGTCCACAGTGGAGAAAGAATCGTCTGAGATGGTTGAGGTGAAAGCAGCAGAGTCGATCTCCAACTGGCTGTGGACCCACATCGGGAGCAACGGATTTGCAGCGGTCTCGGCATCCCCGCCGCGCGGCACATCCTTCTTGACCGATGCGGCAGAGAGAGGGCTCGACGTGAGGAGGTAACCGCCACGTGCGGGCCCTTCGTTCATTGCGCTGACCTCCGTCATGGAGGACGCGTCTCGGAACATGGAGGCGTTCGAAACACCGATCTTCAAACAAGACGGTACCTTGTAAACCTTAACTTTCTGCTGGCGATCGGCCGTGAATCGCGCCCCACGCCAGCTTGAACCAAAATGGTTATGGACCGTCTTGGGGCCCGCTTGGGTGCCTCTTGGGCCGTCTTGGGCCGATTTGTGGGGCCTTTGGGGTCGTCTTGACCACTGTTAAGACTGAAAACGCGACTATCCCGCAAATATACCTTTTCAGAAAGAGTATGCTTGATTTTTTCCCTTGGGAAGGGGCCTCTCGGCCGCCTCTTGGACTGTCGGTGGACGAAGCGTGAGGGGTGTGCCGAAATGGGCGGCGTGAGCGCATGCGGACGCCGCCACTGGGGCCTTCGGTGGAGCTCCCAACGGGGCCACGAACCGTGTGAGGGCATGCCAACATGGGTGCGGCTGGCGCGTGCAAGCGCGGCAACTGGGACCGTCGGTGGAGGTCCCTGCGGGGCTACGGAACGTGTGAGACGTGTACCAACATGGGCGCGGTGGGCGCATGCGAACGCTGGCATATGGACCTTCGGTGGAGCTCCCGATGGGGCTACGAAGCGTGTGAGGGGTGTGCCGAAACATGTACATGCGGGGGCCAGAAGCAAGGAGGGGGAGGAGGGAGGAGGAGGCGGAGGAGGAAGGAGAGGAGAGGGGACTCGTAGCGCTGTCTCTTCAAAACGAGGACCCAACTCCACATACTGGTTGGAACAAACAAACGAATATCGCAGATTTGAAATGGTTGTCGGGGGGATGGCATGGGCGCCCTTTGTTCAACGCGAAATCTTTTTTCATTAAAAAAGAAGAAGAACAACAGGATACATCAATAGCTGGATGGGTGCAAGGGGAGCCCGCCCTTCAGCTGAATTGTTATTTGAAGGCGAATGGGCGACTTGAATTCTGTAGAAGGGGGGAATTGGAACCATGCCTATCGATCCTCATTTGAACGCCATCGCTGCGTATCAACAACTCTAGGAAATGGTGGTGGTATGGCCACCCGGGTTACCAAATCTCCTATGAAATTATGATGCGGCCTGCGAGCAAAAGAAGAAATCTTGGACATGGGATGGGATGGCCGCCCTCTAGCAATACCTTGCTGGGAACAAGCAATACATTTGAAATTTGCGTGGGGATGGGATGGTCGCCGTTCATCTCGTTTTATTGAAGCAAACAGAAAGCTTCAACTGCCCTATGGGCTGCTATGGGTTGATCGAGTGGCCACTTTTCCTGGTGTCCCCCCTGCAGCAAACAGAAGCATTTGAGAATTCTGTGCTAGGGGTGGGGGGGGGCGCTCTTCCTACTGAGCCCCGGCTAGAAACATATTTTTACTAAGATCGTCTGCGAAGGGAATGGGATGGGCGCAGTTCTGGTCGGAATCATGTATACAAGAAACCGAATCCCTACATAATTCCATATATGGCACTATGTTGCTGCTTCCGTGCCCCACCCCTAGCCTAGTACCAAGAGTGGAGAAAGTAAAGCCAACAATGTGAGCAAGACAACTGTCATCCAAGAAATCTAGGCCATCTTCACTGAAATTACTACATCGAAAAACCTGGGCCAGGATCTCGTGATAGTCCTGGAAGGCGAACGTACTCAAGCTGGGCCAGATTCTCAGCAAGTTGATAAAAAAAACGTTGGCCCAACCTTTCGGTTCGGGAGGAGGAGTCTTAATCATATGCTCGACCGTGGTTGCAGTGAGGTGTACCAGCGAGGGCTCTTGTAACAAGTAATAAAAATAGTCGTAAGGGCCAGGGGGTGGACTGCCAGGTGTCTGTGGAAAGCCGCTTCGGACACCTGCGGCAATACTGTCATGCAGCGAAGTCAAGATTTCTGCGCGCGACCTCACTGAAACCATTAGAGGCAATGATTGTTCTTGCCATTCTGTCAAAGGAGACTCTGCGGGCCACAAGGGCGCATGACGAAAACCCTCAACACAATCATCGCGCGCCAGCCAACGCTGTTAAGCAGTACCATGACGGCCACAAGCGCGCGTCTCCGCCAGCGCACGTCTCGATCCTTCCAACAACCTTGGTTCTCTAAACGCTTGAGCACATACTCAACATGAAAACGATTGCGTTTCCCAGCTGAAGTTCCGTCATAATGTAGTGGACGTCTACAGGCGCGATCTTGCTCATCGCCCTCATCGACACCATCGTTACCTTCCCGACCAGAGTCATTGCCACCGTCATCACAAACCCCTTCATCACCATCACCATCGTCGTCGCCGTCGTCATCATCCCCACCGTCGTCATCAACAGCATGATCGTCATCGTCATGGTCCGTATCGTCGGTCTCGTCATCAGTGCCGGCATCATCGTCGTCATGACTCGCCCCCCCCCGCCCGCGAGCCATGTATGTGCATGAGAAGGGTCATCGCGTCACTGCGCCAGTTGAGTTTTGCCGCCCCGAAGTTGCGCGCGGGTGGGTGGGGTATATGCTCGAGCTTTGGTGTTGACGACGCTCGAGTTGACGACTGCAAGTTGCTCACAAGAAATTGCACCCGATGGCATACACTGCGCAGAGTGCACAACACAGTTCGCTCCGCGTGAACCAGATCTTTTCACTACACATCCAGAGTGCAAGAGCTCACTTTCTGGGGCCCATGCCAGCCAAAACGGCTCAAAGACATCAAAACCTCGACCCTCGGTCCACCTCATCCCACCACCCCTGGAGGCCTCCCAGATAGGTCCGAGCAAATGGGGTCGGAGGCTCGTGCCGCATCCCCGATGCAACGCCGATGCACTGGCGATGCACCAGCGACGTCGGCGATGCATCGGGGACGTCGGCGTGGATAAGACAAGGCTCCACATCAGGCCGCATCGCCGATGAATCCCCAGACATGCGGTGACCTGATTTTTCAATACGGGGTCCCCAGACGTCCCGACCACTTCCCCAAGGCGGGTTTTTCATTCTGAGTTGTTTTTTTGACAGTCCCGAAACCACGTAAGGACCCCCAGAAACCGAAAATGGGGAAAAACCTCTCGTCGTGATTTTTCCATGACTCGAAGGGGTCTGCTCCGACCCGGCCTGGAAGGCCTGGAAGACCCCCACCCGGGCGGAGGGGTCTCCTTGATGACGCTGACCCCCGTGTCAAGAGCGGACTGGCCGGCCGCCATGGCGGGCCCGCCGCGGCCCCCCCCCCCGGCGAGCCCGCCGCTGGAGCCCTTGGACACCGACGGCCCAGAACATCCTGCTCCTCCTTGTGCCTCCGGCCTTCTCATGTCTCGTGCCTTGTACTCCTCCTCCTCATGCTCCTCCTCCTCCTCCTCCTCCACCGCATCCTCATCTCCATCATCATCATCATCATCATCATCATCATCATCATCATCATCATCATCATCATCATCATCATCATCATCATTGTCATCATCATCATCATCATCATCATCATCATCATCATCATCATCATCATCATCATCATCATCATCATCATCATCATCATTAGCATCATCATCAGCAGCATCATTATCATTATCATCATCATCGTCATCGTCATCGTCATCATCATCATCATACTTATCATCATAATTATCATCACCATCATCATCCGCATTACCATCATCATCGTCATACGTATCGTCCCCGTCATAGTCATCAAAAACACCAACATCACCACCACCAACATCAGCAACCGTCATGCCTACCATTAGCCTCATCATAATCAGTATTGCTGTCACCGTGATGATCCTCATCATCAGCATCAGCATCCTCATCATTACCATCAGCATCACCATTATGTATCACCAGCAACGGCAACAAACACAGCATCATCATCACCAGCATGTCACAATCACCATCAGCATCATCATCATCGCCGTCGTCGTCATCGTCAGGGTCACCGACGTCATGATCACCATCATCACCATCATCATCGCCATAAACAACAGTAACATCATCATCCTGATAACATGAATCACGATCAGCTTCAGCATCGTCACCATTATTATCATCATAACCCTCATCATCATCCCACTATCCCCACGTCCTTCTTGTCCTCCACTCGTCCTTCGTGCTTCTGCTTCTGCTTTCACTCATCGTCATCCTGCTCCTCATCCTCCACCTCAGCGGCTTCATCACCGACCCTTCACGTATGATCCAGGGTGTCGGGTGCCCACGTCCATCCCCCCCCCCAACACCCAAACATGGGATGGGTCACAGGGCTCCTACGACCCCCTTGGATATGCATGTGTTGCTCGTGGTCCGCCATGCTTGCCGTTCGCCTGCTACTGCTGCGAGAAAATAATGCACGTCAGACGCCTGACAAGCTTTGGCTCGCTTAAGTTTCCTCGGTTCGTACGGACGCGGATATCCCTCAATCTTACAAAAAAATCGGAATACGTTTGACAAGGCGGATGTGTTCCGCGTCAACGTATCGGCTGCTGCGTACCATTGTCGGCGCGGTTGTTGGCATAATCGTGCTGCCACGACGCTACAATCTCTCTTGGCCCGATCTGACTGTTTGCAATTCAACTCAATTCCAATTGCCGTGTCTTTCCGACGACTCCAATATAAATAATGTCCTGCATGGTTCGACGATTACCAACTGCCGGAATGTCAGCCCCGCGTCCTAGCTCACCTTAAGAGCACAAGTTGACGGAGCTAGCAAGAGACCAAACAGCAACCAACAAGAGACTACGTGTCTCCCTTAAAAGCAACACCCCGAAGCAACATGATACACATGTTTGAAACACAAGTCGACCGCGACGCTGCCCATGTGTGCGTGAGCACTGAGTGGCGAAAATATCATGAGGCACCCCAGTACAGCGAAGGTCCGACGCAAAGCGGGCCACAAAAATAGTCAAAAAGCGGAATTTGCAATTACCTCGTTGCTTCTTATCTGCGTGCTCACAACGGTTTCATGGAATGCGCGCGGCGCTCAGGTTCGCCCTACTGCAACTGTCAACGCAGTTGGCGCAGGGCGCGGGCACAAACGATGCAAGTTGCCGCTGGGTGGGCTGGCATGGAGCGCACGTGCCCCAGACGCAGACGTCTCGGTCTCCTCGCCCGCAGAATCCTCGGATGCTCCGCGACCAAGCCCAGAGCACAGCGCAAGGACTGCTCAAGAGATTAGCTCGCGGCAGGCAGCCG